CAAGCCTTCAGGGAGCAGGCGGGTGAGAATTGAGGGTCTGTGACTCAGCTCCATTTCTCCCCGACTTGCTTTCCCCCGCACTGTCTTTCGGTGGTGCCCGGAAGTCAGTTCTGTCCCCAGACGGGGGGACAGATAGTATTAACCAATGCCTAAACAACCACTCACGGTTTGTATTTTAATAAAGTTGTGGCCAAAATCATGCCAAAAATCTTAAATAAAAATTATGTGTCCATTGTGAGTTATTTTGGGGGGTGGATTGGGGACCTCGACACGCAAAGCTGCGGAGCAAAGGCAAAACTGCTTGGACGCATGCCTAGAAAGCACGGAACAAGCGGAAAACCACTCAAACCCATGTTTTCTAGGCACAGAAGCATCGACGAGCCCTCATTTAAGAAGTTAGGCAAGGATATATAACTCTTTTGCATAGTTAAGCCCATCTGCCATTGCGCAAGACGCACGAACTGTAGGACTTACAGTTACAATACGCAGCTAAATATTTTCAGCAGATTTGTAGCCAGCTAAATATGAAAGCGCCAGGAATATTGCATATCTGCCTCACGCACACTGGCAATGAACAACCCTCCCATACCGGGCACCATTTTCACCACAAGCCCCACTGAAGTAAATGAAGACCTGTAAAAAAGCAAACCTGTCTTCTTGTCTTGCTTATTTTCAGCGGAGCACCTGCAGGAGAGAGACCCAATGGATGGTGCCCAATTGCTGCAAGTCAGCAAAAGTAAGTACTTATTGAATTGCCTAGTGCACACATCCAGCCAGGTTCTCTGGGTGTTTTACAGAGACGTTAAAGGCAAAATGGAATTCCCGAGAAAATGCTAAAACCAGGAAATGATGAATCACAACAGAACCCCACCCAAATAATTTTATTTCATTTCTTAGAAACCAGCATAAAACACAGCAGCAATGCCATAGGGAGGTACTTAGCTTTTAAACTGTTCAATATGGCAGAGCAAAGCCTAACTAACACAAAAACAGGACAAGTGGAACTGCTTTGATGGGTTGCATCTTCTTTACCACAGAGCACAACACCTAGCAAGCAAAGACCAACTCTTCCATGGGAGGATGAAAGTGTAGAGGGGCCAGACCAAATGGAGGAATGCACTGAGTGAGACTTCGTAAACAAACACATTCACATAAGCCCATTGTGCCCCACGTTTCTCTGCATACAGTGCCCAGATGGGCTGCACTCGTCAGTGGGCTGACTCAAGGAACAAGAATCTCCCCACAGCTTCATGGTATGTTTTATGGCCCACCCCTTCGGTTCTCAGCCTCCTCCGCCCCCACACCTAGGTATTAAAGGTCACCCTTGGCCAGGGCTACAACCAGGACAACAGTGCCAGTTCCTGGACCAACATTAGGAGCAGAGTTCTCCAAGCAAGGGCACCCCGAGGTAAATTGCTGGAGCAAGAGTGAGATTTTTGCAGCCAGCAGGAGGGGGTGCTCTGTTGTTTAGTTGGGTGCAGATGGCCAGGCATTTATAACAGAACTGTTCAACCCAGAGGCTTTGGAAGACCTGCCAGCTATGAAGGCTAATGTTACACCCTCTTATTTATCTGATGAGTCTGATGAGGCTCTGAGACATGAGCACACACAGACGTAGAGAAATGATCTGGATAAGTCCTGGCCAAAAGCCACCATCATGAAGGCCAAGCCCCAGTGTCCGGGCATGTATGTGCCATCTAAAGAAGATGGCAATTTCTGGCTGCAACATGGCTGCAACTCTTGATAGCACCATATCAGCCTCTCTTGTGCTTCCCCTTACTTCCCTTGTTATCGTGTACAGAGACAGAAGAGAGAATAAATGTTCTAGGTGCACAACCTGCAGTCCTCCAGATGTTTCTGGACTACAACTTCCATCATCCCTGATCACTGGCTATGCTGGTTGGGGCTGATGGGAGTTGTAGTCAGGAAACAACTGGAGCACCACAGGTTGTGCACCCCTGCTCTAGGAACATTGTTTTGAAAAGCATGAGGAGGGAGGCCTCCACAAGGAAGCCCCAGCTGCGGCTACAACAGGTATGCCCTGGGCTTGTTTCCCCCCTCTATTGTTGCTTCCTAGACTATGTGGTCATCTGCTTATTGTTACGTTGGCTGGTTAAGAACTTATGGAACTGTCCCCTGCACCTGAAAATACTCTGTGGGCCAATGAAATCCTGCTCCTAGATTCTGCAGAATAAGGCATTCTGGGTATTTTGTTTTCTGGCCGTGAAAAAGTGGCCGGTGCTGAAAAACGTGTGATGTCAAAAATGAAGAGAAAGCATGCCATTGTGCTATAAAGAATGGCCATCTACCTTCCTAGCATAGGTGCCAACTCCCTGGGGCACTGGGTGCCCAAACACCCACAAAATTCCCCATGAAAGGACAAATATGGGTGCAAGGGCCAAGTTGGCACTCCTGCTTCCTATAAAAGTCAGTATCTGGATTTGACCACACACTAGAGTCACACTTGAGGATAAGCAAGAGACAAATGCCAGGGTGGGGCTATGAAGATGAAGGAGCAGACAGAAGCAGGATCAGTTCTCAGTAGTTCCCACTGAGTTCTATAGAGAGGAAACAGGGGGTGAGCTGAAACACTGTGGAGAGAGGACAAGCCTTGCTCCAAATGTTGCAATTAGTCCCATCCCAGAAATGTCTCCAAATGCATCCCTTTTACTTTCTCCTTGATGTGGTTGGCCTGTGAAGGAACACTTACACTTAGGGGAACAGTTACAGTGGAGGTAGAACCTGCCTTTCATGTTGGAGGCTGGGTGGTTTAGTCTCTACAACCAGGAGGATGCAACATGTCTCTGTGAGCCTAGTGAACGGGGATGCTTATTCTATGCAGGCCCTCCTTCCACGCAAAAACACACCCTCGGCCAAACAGAGAGAGAAATCCAATGAACCAACCACTCTTGGAGAGGCACAGTTCTGGGCAGGGCTGCCAACAAGAGGCATGCGATGCAGTCCGCACCAAGCTTACGCGAGATCACACACCCCTTCGCTCTGAATATATGCTCGTTTGGCAAAATCGGTAACTCGAAATAGAATTCTCGCTGCATATATTGACATACTCTGAAATGGCGAGACCTAGCCGTTGAATATTCTTTAACCAACCTCACAAGAACAGCAGCAAAGGTCGATAAAAGAGTGTTAAGTGTCACAACAGCCTTTGCCAACCTGGTGCCCAGCCCAGCCCTGCGGCTGATGGGAGTTGTAGTGCAAAAATCCGGAGGGCACTAGGTGGGCAAAGGCCTCATTAAGAAATCTAGAGTGTGTGTGTGTGTGTGTGTGTGTGTGTGAGAGAGAGAGAGAGAGAGAGAGAGAGAGAGAGATCTGGGAGCTGTCCTTGGTACTGAATGGAGAGGGCTGGAGGTCTCTGGGCTACCTTCTGCAGTGTTGATTGCAACCTCAGTGTTGCTTAGGCTGCTCAGTTCAATGAGACAAAGGCACAATCCCCTCGACAGCGGGGGGCAGCCCCCTCAACTGGCAGCATGGGTGTGCCAAGTGCAGCGAAAAGAGCTGTTTGGCGGAATAGCTAGAACTGGAAATCAGCAATACAAAAGCCTGGCAGGGAGAAAGGGTGGGCGGCGGGTGGGCTTGAGGCAGTTAAGGCACTTATGTCATGCATCAGTGTCTTGTGCTTTGGAGTCCAAAAGGAGGGGGGGGGACGGAGGGCTCCAGCTCCAATTAGTTAATGGCAAACTATCAGCGAATGCTGCTGCTGTAAATAGCAAAGGTGTGTGTGCAGAGCTCAGTCCGATTTAACTCACAGTCGGCTTACTCTGGTTCAGATGCCCTAAGCTCAGCCTCCTGACTCTTTGGAGTCCATTCAGTGACAGAAGAGCACATGGCCTCTTCCACCCAGGATGATGTGGTGATGCTGGCAAGCAGAGTGTGAGGCTGGCAGTGCCTCACCTGAGCAGCACACCTGTTCCCACAGCCAATTCTATAGGGTTGCTGTTACAAAAGAGTCAGGGTGCAAACGAAGACAGTCTGGCAAGAACCGCATGGCATGTTGGTCATCAATGTGCTGACTTATGGTGAATATGGTGCGTAAAGTGAATTGAGACTAAGGTTTGTTTGTTTAAAATCAATTATTTGCCGCAGAGAAAGAAAAGGATAGGAATTTTGTTTGTTTGTTTATTTTCAAAATTTATAAATCACCCATTTAACCAGTGGGGTTCTACTCTGCTCAAGGGACTGTTTGTGTCAAAAAAAGGGGGGTTTCTGCACATATCTCCATTTCAACCAATGGCAGGCAATTCTTACAACCAGGTCAACTTCCATTGGCGCAAAAAAAAAAAAAAAAGGATGCATTTCCTTGCCTGACGAAGAATTCTGTGCCATTTGAAAGCTTGCCTACTCTTGCACCGCACCAAAATCAAAGGCACCGCAATGCCCACTTGGCATGTGTTTGTTACGAAAAGGCCAAATGTTTTACTGAGGCAGGTAGTGAAGTCCCAGGGAACCCTTCCATTTCTTGAGAAAATTGAGAACCTTGGCTTTTGCATGTGGAACTAACGATTAAATATGAACTCAAGTTCCCCTTTGCTCAGCCACTATTTTGCCATCAGAACATGCCCCTAGATGCGCGAGAACTTGTAGCCTTTAGAGTTGGCTGGATCCTATTGCATTCTATTCCAGATCTCTTCAGCCAACAAGCTGGGCTGTGGCTGCCTCAAAAGAGCCAAGCCAGTCTGTCCTCTGCAGCCCAGCCCAGTGCAAACTGCTGGAGCAAGGTGAAGAGGAATACAGGTTGCCCAAGCAGCAAGGCTAGGATTGCAAGCATGCCTAGGTGGGCTAGTGGGAACGGGAAGGAAGAGAGTTGGGACATGCATGTGGTTTGGTCTCACTCTCTCTCCGTGTGGTCCTCCAGCTGCATAATGGAATGGGAGACGGAAGCTTACCTTTGCCCACAGTTGCTGGCTCAGCAGGTACCAGTCACGGGAAGACATTGGGGGGGGGGGAATCAGATGGAAAAGGGACACAGGGGAAAAGGATATGGCCAGTCGATCAGCTTCTTGGCATATTTCCTGACAATGTTGTCTTCCCCAAAAATGAAGAGAGATCTGTTGACTGTGAAGCAGTTCTGACGGACGGGTATAGGGTTGTACAGTGCCATAGTCCTGGCCCGTTGGGCTTTGGTTTGCTTGTACGCTACCGGGGTCCCCCCCGGAGGGGCCGGGGCTCCCTGGCGGTTCCTGTTCTGCTCGGCAGCTCCATCTCCGGATCCCAGCCTGCCAGCCATCGCCTCTCCAAAGCGAGCCATCCTGGAAGGAAAAGAGAGAGGTGATCCGATCAGGGCCCCCTCCTTTCCACAAAGTAGCAAGCAGCAGTAAAGGTGTGTGTGAGCGGAGGGGGGGGGGTTGGCGTTCCCACCAGAGCACCTCCTTCTCTCTCTCTTGGTGATGCTTTTAAAGCCCCGCGTTCAACGACTCCTCCATTCCTCTGGAAGCAACGTTTAGCAGAGAGGCATGCGATCCTTTTAACACGAAACACAAGGCGTTGCAAAAAGAATAATGATCAAAATCACCCCAACCCAAATCGGCCAACCCAGCAAGCAAAAAGAGCCATGGTGTAATTTGCAGGAAATGTTCAGTTTTCTCCTAAAAGGAAGCAGGTGGTTGCTGTTGCTTTTGCTAGGGAGGCGAGCTCAGATTCTGCCTCTTTTTACGTGGAGCTCTCTGCACCGAGGCTTTAAATCAGACCCGTCCTCCTCCTCCTCTTCTTCCTCCTGGCTTTGTTTAGAGGCAACAAAAAAGAAAAGAAAAGAGGGGGGGATTCCCCCCCCCACTCCACCTCCTTGCTTGGACCTCCGCGAAGGATCCAGTGCAGAGGCACTCGGGGTGCTTGTCAAAATCAGACAGCAAAGGGGCTGCGATTAAGGCTCTCCCATCTGCCCATCAGGAAGGGGAGGGGGGACTGCAATTGGGCGAGAGCCTATGAGAAGAGGTGGAGAAACAGGTTGCAACCCACTCCAGCCTAGTTAGGGAGCGAAGTGTTTAACTTCCTCGCAATCGGCTCCATCTTTCTCCTCCTAAAGAGAAAGATCATCTCATTTTCTTTTTCCACGAAGAGAGAGAGAGAGAGAGAGAGAGAGAGAGAGAGAGAGAGAGAGAGTAGGAGGGGAGCCCGCATACCCCCCTCCTCCATATGTACCTCTCCCAAGAGAATTAATCACATTTGTGTTGCGGAGCTGGGGCGGTTAGAGGAGTGCTAACAATGGGTTTGACTAAGCTTTTCATGCCCGCAAGCTTTAGGAATGGTTGGTTTTCCTCTATCACACACACACACACACACACACACACACACACACACACACACACGCAGAGAGAGGGGGGGGTTGCTTCTGTTGAGCAACCAAATTAGTTCTTCCAACGGAGGATGAGAAAGGAGGGGTCTACGACTGAACAAAGACATCACCTCGGAGTCCCTGGGTAGCAGCGGAAGATTGCTGAGCAGCAAGAAAACGCAGCCTGTCAAGAGTTTTTCTCCTCAGCTGGTCGCTTGAGGAGGCTGGAGTTGGCTCCCCTGTCCCTTATCTGAAAAATCCCAAGCTCCTTACCCAGCTCAAGAGGAAGGTGGGTTAAGAACTGGGATTCCAAGAGCATCTCCCCTCCGCACCCACAAACTTTGAAACACCCCAGATCTTCCCTCCAGGCTTCCCTGGAGTTTGTCCTTCATGGGCTGGTTTTCACCACTATCCCCTCCCAAGACAGGTTTGGTGCACGGGGCTGCCCCCCTCCCCAATCTGTCACACGAGGAACAACATATGGATAAGGAACTTCTATTGTATTTAGGGAAGTGGTGGCTGAAATGGAGGAGCGAAACTGACATGGGACAGAGGCATTCCTTCTGAAAATGACAATTCGGTGTTTACAGCCAAGATGCCCTTCTGGTCCCTAAACCATCCCTCCTCCAGAGACACTCCTGCTTCCTTCCAAAAGGGCACTTTGGTATTTTAACTTGGAGTGGAGTGAACTTTCATTTGGGCTATACTTGTGAATTTTAATGGTTGATTATTGCCTGGGCTCGTGCTTGGTATTTGAACTTTGGCGAAGTTCTTATCTGTTTGTAATTGCCTTTTATGTTGCGCTTCTAAATGCTGAGTTCTTCCTTGAGCAAGGTGGAGAAGGTTGCCTATAAATGTCATAAGAAGCATGTAAATATACCCAGAACTGGCAGAACGGAAAACCTGGATCTCTGTACAAAGAGGTCAGCCAAGAAACAGCCTCTGTTGGCATCTTAGAGCCTCTCACTGCAGCCATCATTTGCTCACCAAAACACTCAGCCAGTCCCACAGATTCGAAGGATCTAGGGATAAGGCAGGATTTGGGAATGTAGCTGAATGACATTTGACAGCTAACACAGGGCCAGCGGCGTAGCGTGGGTTGTCAGCACCCGGGGCAAGGCAAGTAATTTGCGCCCCCTAACCCGTGGATTTGCGCCCCCTAACCTGTGGATTTGCACCCCCTAACCCGTGGATTTGCCCTAACCCCAGATGTTGCGCCCGGTGCGGCCGGCCCCCCCGCACCCCCCACGCTACGCCACTGCACAGGGCTGGACCCTGAGAGGTCATCTAACTGAGCCCCCTTCCTGTCTTATAACAATATTGTGGCATGTGTTTCCATGCGTAATGTAAATCTTTGTGAGAATGCTGGTTGAAAGGTAAAGGTAAAGGGACCCCTGACCATTAGGTCCAGTCACGGCCAACTCTGGGGTGGTGGCACTCGTCTCGCTTTATTGGCCAAGGGAGCCGGCGTACAGCTTCCGGGTCATGTGGCCAGCATGACTAAGCCGCTTCTGGCGAACCAAAGCAGTGCACGGAAACACCGTTTACCTTCCCGCTGGAGCGGTACCTATTTATCTACTTGCACTTTGACGTGCTTTTGAACTGCTAGGTTGGCAGGAGCAGGGACCGAGCAATGGGAGCTCACCCCGTCGCAGGGGATTTGAACCGCCGACCTTCTGATCGGCAAGCCCTAGGCTCTGTGGTTCAACCCACAGTGCCAGCGGGTTATAAATCTGTAAGTAAACTATAAAAATAAAATGAGCAAACTAGTGCTAAATCTCCAAGATGATAAAAGATGCGAGGGTTCAGAGTCAATGGGTGATTTTAGACCATAGACTTAATGATCTTAAAATCATGGTGGGGAGAAGTCTATGTGTTTTGAAGCACACAAGAAACATTTCTCACTTCCCTCCCACTGCCATTCCATGCATCCCAACTGCTCCTATGTATGTTTGGGGGCGGGGGAACAAATCAATAACAGCTTGCCAATCTTGATTTATTTATTTTTTAAGTAAAGAAAGAATTCATGGAGTATTTGCATCCCCCCCCCCAATTTTCTGCACAAACACAAGCTTCTGAATGTTTTAAGGATGACCCCACGGGGAGCTCATTGCAGCAGCCAACCCACCAGTTGACTGCAGCAATACAAAACATGTCACTTTGCCTGACACTCCCAAAAGGCACACTTTCACAACTTGCCACAGCAGAAAAGAAGGGGACTGGGAGAAAAAGATGGTGTGCCATTTTGTTAATCTAGAACTGTGATCTATGGGCTCTCTTCTGCCCCCTTAAGTGACTCAGTTCCCTTTAAGTCTGTAACTCCTTCCGTCCCAGAACACTTCCACCTCTCTCTCTTTCATCACGCTCACCCTAATCACCTTGTCCATGAAACCTTTGGCTCAGCCTATTAATCCTCACTACTCTAATTTACCGTATTTATTGCTCTATAAGACTCACTTTTTCCCTCCTGAAAAGTAAGGGGAAATGTGTGTGCGTCTTATGGAGCGAATGCAGGCTGCGCAGCTATCACAAAAGCCAGAAAAGCAAGTGGGATTGCTGCTTTCGCTGCACAGCGATCCCTCTTGCTATTCTGGCTCCTGAGATTCAGAATATTTTTTTTCTTGTTTTCCTCCTCCAAAAACTAGGTGCGTCTTGTGGTCTGGTGCGTCTTATACAGCGAAAAATACGGTAATTAGAGTAAAGCCTGAAGCCTAGTTCACAGCCTGCAGCAAGGATCCCCATAATAGTTTGTTCTCTACATACAAATAAAACTCCACATTTTTTAAAAAAAACAACCTAGATGTCATGGAGAAGATCTGTAGTTGAGCCTTCTCCCTGACTTGCTAGATTTCTACCTGCTGGGATTCTACCACCACGCCTCCTCTCCCCCTGTCCCAAGGATGTGTTGCCTCCTAGCTGCAGGCTGAAGTGGAGCAATCCAGGAACAGTTGTGCAATGGCATCTGGTGTGTGAGCTAGATGCAAAGTCTGTATACTCACGCTTGTTCACTTCCATCCTTTACTCTTCCCTTCGTACCCTGTGTCCCTGCACATTTACACTGTAAGCTCTTGGGAGGCAGGGACCTCTTTAAATTATGTTGCATGTAGCATGCACACGGATGACTCTTTTTAAAAGATATACTAAGCAAACCACCCTTATTTGGCAGGAGTGTCAGATCCACTCAGAGTATTGTGGAATCTGCAATCCGAAGTGGAAATGGCTGTGCAAATCATCATTTGGAGGAAGCAATGGGCTTTTCACTGCATCTTGTGTCTCTCAGGGTGCTTTCACACAGCGCAGTTTTAATTGGCACTCGTGATGAATGCAAAGGTCCTCTTGGTTTCCTGAAAATGCCTCATTTCTGCAGGCTACCTGCCTGCTTAATAGCCATTTCTCCTGAGCATAATTGGGGCAGGGGGGGGGGGAGTTTACAAGCAGCAATAATTTTACAGGTGACTGAATGAAGTCTGCAAGCTTAGTACACAGAAGTCCATTCTTTCTTCCTAAATGTCCTCTAAAAGAAGTCTTAGCAATGTTTTGACACTTTCAAAAAGAAAAAGAAAAACACCATCTCTACTGGAGTTGAATAAATATTTCAAAACTGATTTCTCCTCCCCTTCCCCCGTGCGGCAGTGTGTGCAGTAGCACTGGTATCTTGTAAACCTGCAAACAAACTGTATGTGCATGCAATGCCAGCCTTAGCATTAGGGGGCTCTGGGATGATGATTAAGCAGAAGAAGAAGAAGAAGAAGAAGAAGAAGAAGAAGAAGAAGAAGAAGAAGAAGAAGAAGAAGAAGAAGAATTTGGATTTGATATCCCGCCTTTCACTCCCTTTAAGGAGTCTCAAAGCGGCTAACAATCTCCTTCCCCTTCCTCCCCCACAACAAACACTCTGTGAGGTGAGTGGGGCTGAGAGACTTCAAAGAAGTGTGACTGGCCCAAGGTCACCCAGCAGCTGCATGTGGAGGAGCGGAGACG